CTAACCTGCAAAATTGAAACCCTACAGACGTATGTACGTATGCATGCATGTATGTATACTCCTTACATGCAGTGGCTGCTGGGCTTGGGCTATAGCAGCAATGCCCATTTACCTGTCCAACACATTATCATTGCCACACAGCTCCTGTATTTTGACACCACCGCAGTAAGATCCACGGAGGACATATATTTTCCAGTGGTAGAAGCCTCAGGAAAATGTTATATTTATATTTTATGTGCAAAGGAAAAGGTACGAACAAAAATTCCGCGAGGTTTGGCATCTACAGATCATGTACGAAATTAACCAGGCATCGCCATAAGAAATACACTCCTAAAGCCTAAGCAACTGCTTTGACTTCAACTCCTACAACATACCCTACAACGTCACCTAGCGGACTGCTGTACGATGCCGTATCATCACCAGTGCTGCCCTATGCTGTTTACCACGGACCGAAACGCGGCGCCTGCGAGTCCTTGAAAATCAGCCAGAGTGTGTTGTTGGCGACAGACGCGGCCTTGCGGTCAACGTCTACCACCATGGGGTAGCCCTCTTCATATCGCTGCAGAACCACGTAGTCTCCGGCGTTGGGGAGCACTAACGGCGTGGAAAATTCCACATACACAGAGGGCATCGACCGGCCCCCATGGGCCACAGACAGCTGCACGCCCGCAGGCACACTCCGATAGCCCTTGTCGTAGGCAATAATCAGGGAGTACCGGGCGCGCATGCCACCTGGCCTGTTCAGGCCCAAGACAGGTGGTTTAGCGCCCAGCTGGGTGAAGAGAGGCGTGCTTCCAGCATTGCCGCCCGCCCACCGCCATCCCGAGACAGGGGGCTGTTGAGGCACGCCAATCCGTGTAGGATCCAGGCATACAACACCGTTGTCCGAGACCTTCCGGCAGCCGCCACCCCAGCCAAGATCAGGCGTGCTGTCGATGAGCAACACATCGATGTAGACACCGCCTGTGTCGGTTGTTGGAGAGCCGGCGCACGTCACGGTGCCCGAGCGCTGTAGCATGATGCCCGTTCGCCGCTTAGAGGCGGAGCCGCCTGCTGCCAACAAGGATGCGATGCTGGACGAGAACTCCACGTACATCCAAGGGGCGCAGTACGCGTCGTACATGCCACCACTCAGCGACATGGTCACGTCGCTGGGCTGCGAGCGGGTGCCGTCTTCGTATGTGAAGACGACTTGGTACGCGGCGCTCATGCTGCCATGTGCCCACAAGTCAAGCTGGCCGTAGCTATTTTGGCAGCTACCAGCACTGGCGCCTCCCGCACTCCGCATACACGCCACGGGTGGGGCGACGTCTGTGGAAGGGTTAGTTTGGCAATTAAGGGGAGGTGGGAGGGATGCAACAATAAGGAGTTGTCTGCTGGGGGTATCTATCCTGGCCGGCAATCGTATGTAGTGGTAGGGAATACAAATTGAGTGCTTCTGGTAAGCCGCCGCTTACCCATGCATGCATGCACCTAGGAATGTACTTGGCAGGTCTCTGCTGAAAGTTAGCATTAATGGTCTCACTATACGTACAGGAGCCCAAGGCAGCAGCTGCACCCCCGCTGGCGAACCCAAGGTACGTAAGGAAGCTAGCATGCGGTTAAATACACATATGCCTCTCGTCCTTATGCCCACACTTGGCTGCATGCATGCATACCTTGGGTTGTCATGTCTCTTTCAGTCCACGCCCAGGAGTCATCTGAGCGGGCCAACACTTTGCCACTCGCGTCCGTCAACGACATGATGGCCCCGGCGGGGTTCGGAGCGCTTCCCACATTCACACAGCGCACTTGGATGAGGTTGGGGCCCGGCTGCAGAGAGAGCGCAATGGGGGCCACCACCTCATCGGAGCCCCATCCAGCCGAGATCCTCGCCCATCCGCCCGTCACTTTGCCTCCCACTTGGAGTCCGTTGAGAAAGACGTAGCCCTCGTTGTCGATGGCGAGGTTTAGGTAGGCCGTCAGGGCGCTGCTTGTCACAACAACTTTGCTGAACGTGGTTGCAATGTTGGTGGGTGCCTGCCGCACTGCTCCCGCTCGGGACCAGATCCATTGAGCGCTGGGATCAACGAAAGAGTAGAAGTACCATGGGGGCGATCCCGGACCGCCCATAAGGCCCACGGCTGGGGTATGGTAAGGAAAGCAGGCAGGGGTGTAGGATTGTCAGGTTAGGCGAGAGGGTTAGCAAGTGAAGGGATTTCAGCTGCTATATCTTCCACTAGATGAGGATCAGGCTCTGGAAGTTGGAGATAGCCCTAACACCTGACTGCTGGCTTTCCAGTCGTCTGGCTGCCAAATGCACCACCCCAGGCGATGCCCCTTTACTCACGTCTCACGCCTCCCGACACCAGTGCAGCGTCGGGGTAGAAACCAGGTCCCGATCTCCCCTCACGCTTGAGCTGGCAGGCTCCACTGCTGGGCTCGAACACCCAGAAACGGCAGACGGGGTCGCCAGAGCACGCAGCACAGCATTCCGTTTGAGATGCCATGACGAGAGTTCGGATTGTGGATGCATTTGTACCGTAGCCGGTGCCAGTCAGGGCAGCGGAGCACACTGCGTACATGCGGGTTGGAAAAGAGCGAGGTCAGAATGAGGGTTGCGCTGGTGGGTGGGGATTGACAGGTAGAGTTCATATACTGAAGTGCATGCCTGCAGCGGCTCACACCATCGACAAAATAGGCGCCCAGAAAAACATAAGATCCTTCTTAGGAAAATGCTTAAGCTGTCACTTCTCATGACTACTTGACACGCGCCAAGTAAGGAGTGCATACCTGGGGGGAAGGGCGATCGCGGGGAGGGCGGTGGCGGCGGCGGCGGGTTTGGGGAAGGATGCGGCGGAGAAGGAGGTCGCGATGAGGGTCGCAAGGAGCGCCGTGGTGGGGGGCGGCGATGGGAGCAGCGTAACGATCGCAGCTGATGCTGTGGTAGGGACAGTGGCGTTGGAGAAGGCGGCATAGGGGTAGGGGATGGCGGTGGGACAGGAGGTGACGGTGGTGAAGGTGTCACACCGCTGCTGCTGCCGAGTTGCAGGTCGCTAGCTTGCGCATTGCTGCTGGCGGCTGCTGGCGTTGCCGCAGCGTGCGCCACCAGCAACACCAGGACGGCAGTTACAGCGTGCTGCTGCATGTGTTCTTGCAGCTGCAGCAGCACTGCCACCACACACCCGTACTAGGGTTGTGTAGATGTGTGGTATTGAATCACCTGCTACATGCACCGCAGACCAGACGGGGCTTGGTTGGTTGGGCGATGGCCATGGACCCTGATACCGGTAGCTAGCGACAGCAGTAAAGCTAGCACGATGCCTCGGTCACTACCGGTATCGTCACATGTTTGACTAACCTGGCTTGCGTACAAGCGACCGAACAGCGCACTTCAGCAACAGCCACCGTTGTCCTGCACAATTGCCAGCGATGCATGTTAGTAAAGAGTCCGCTCAGGAGAAAGGAATGCGAGCAGGAGGGTGAATTGCGTCAGGTGCGGCTTCATCTAGCAGTCCGCACCTGCCGTACCCGGTCGACGATACCGTCGGTTGGTTGATGACCTGGTAAGCTATCAAATGCTATTACTGTCTGGCTGCCTAGGAAGCAAAGCCACTGTTCGCAAACTGTCTTCTTGTTCTCAGGAGTGCCTGCCGTATGCTAGAAAGGATTGCGGAGCACTAAATTAGCCCTCTACCGCAGACTACGTACGGCGGGGCCTGGCGAGGCCCGCTTGGGCCTTGTGACGGGGGCCTGCCTCGCACGTGCGGCATTACTTCCTCTAGGCAGGCCTAGCCAGACCTAGGCAGACCTGGCAGACCTAGGCAGACCTGGCGGGCTTGCTGCTATAGATGTGTACGATCCACTTTCGTAACCGTGGCAGCGGTTATGGCGACAGGCTCTAACCAGGAGAGTGGTCGGTACGACGAAGGCAATGCGACACTAGACAGAGGTCTTCATGACGTCCTTTTGGGAGCTGCGTCGTCCCGCGGAGATAACTAGAACCGGGAATGGTAGCTCGCAGCATACAGGAAGAACCTTCCCCACGGCAATTGTGTCCTGCTTGAGCAGTTGCATGGCGGTTGGGCCAACGGCCCTCTTGGACGGACCCCCGACCTGCAAGCAAAACACTGAAGCAACAGGCACCTATCATCTGCTGAGGTGTGGCCAGCAGCCGTAACGACCACCAGCATGCAACCAGCCGACATGCACCAAGTTCTTTTGGTTCTTCACGCCTCGCTGCCTTCCACATCGTTGGATAGTGACATTTACATGGGGGGGCATCAACCCTTGCACCCTGGACATAGCACCGTGTATGCACCCTCGTACACGAGCAGCGTGACCCACCGACCCATGGGACCCACCCTCGCCAGCCGCACCCTGGCAGGCAGGTGAGGTGCACATGCCAGCCAGTAACGGAGCGCAACAGCGTGCTGCACTTGAATTGTATACCGGTAGGGCTTGTTCTGCAGTGTAAGGTCCATGTCATGCAGTCGCTGCCCCCATCAGCGGCGCATCGCATCTTAGTAAGAGCAGCCGCAGCCAAACGGGTATCCTATGTTCGCCAAAGACTAGCCAAATCCTGTGTTACAGGGACAAGCTGCAAGAGGGACAAGCTGCAAGAGGATATCGGCACCATACCTATATCGGTACCTTGCGAATAGGTGCAACGATGAACGGCGTGTGCTGGCATGCAGTAAGGAGACCAGCCGTTGCCATGCACTGTCGTAAATTGACTGCTTGTTGCCGCACATACGGCTCTGTACGTACCCTTATGAATGCCGTGCCTTGCTATGCACACAAGCTATGTTGTGCCTGCCACCACATGCTGCTTTTCGTGGGACCAGGAACACTGCGTGCAATTCGACTGTTTCCTTGACAGCGCAACGAGTACCGGCACACATTCCTCTGCAGGAACACGGAGGTAGCGAATAGAGGTAGCTGAGGCATACAGGTAGCAGTAGCCGTGGGCCAACTCGTCATACCCAAAGCTACACAAAGCTACAGCGTTACTCGTGCACAAACAAGAGCGCCTCCCGTTTGAAAGAGGGAACAACTCGCATACTGATGCCCCGTCTGTGCCAGCAAACTGAATTAGTTCAAAGCCCCCCCGCTTTCTAAACAGCACAGTTTTCGCATTCACTACAAGCGATAAAACCTAGCCGGTTGCGCTTCACGTCGGCTCAGGGTCAGGAAGTCACTGTCTAGGAGTTTGGCCCCCACAGGCTACAGAGCATCGCATAGCGTAAGACACGCGGAGGGTAAGCGGCTAACATATCGGGCATGTCACATGCGGCGCATGCCACGTGTACGCTGATGATGATGCGGATTTTAAAAACAACAGTCAAAACGGACCCACGGGCCAAACTTTACCATGCAACCCTGCCGCTGCTCCTGCGTTCAAGCCCAACACACGACCTCACGCAGGGCACATAGGTAGTCCCTGGCTTACATGCGCTGCTATAAGTGGGTCGTGCAAACGAGAAACAGCACTGCCAGTCGTAAAAAGGAAAAAATACAGTCCTGCAAGGAGGTTTCTAATCGCCATGAAAATGACTGCATGGGAGTCGATGTAACGCTAAAAGAATAGCCCCTCTGCCGGTAGACGATATTGACAGCTGCTTTGCTGATGAGCTACAAACGATTAGCGTTGTCTTGCGAACGCCTCAACAGAATACTGGAAAGTGTAACCAACCAACGAACATGTACAAAAACCTCATCCGCCAACATTCCCGCCAACAAAAGCGCACCCACCACTTCACCAGGACCTCCTAAACCCACACGCCGTTTGCAAACCCTCGCCATGTGCCCCCACGCAGCCCCGTCATGCGCACCCTCATGGCATCACCTGTACAACGGGGTCACGGGCATCAACCATGGACAGACCCAGATTGTAACCGCACTCTGCCATCTGCCCTTCATTACCCTGACAAAACCTACTGCTCTTAACCATATCCGCCCTTTCATTTACCGTGAAAGCGCAACCTCAGAAAGCCCTCCCGACCCTGGCCAAGCAAACCCAAGCAACGCCTTCAGGCGTCAAGAAATGGCCCAACACCAAATCTATGCACGACCCCATCCTGCCGCCACCTGTTACCTCTCACGCCGCCCCCTGCTGCGCTCCCCTCATCCTTCACTCACACACGCACAGCCGCACTCCCCTCACCTAACGCCCAACCACCATGTTAAGAAGGAACTCAAACTTCTAACTGTTATATATACCGGTTTGCCTGCCCCCATCATGAGGGGAAGCATTACCAAGGCCACGAAGCTTTGAGTTACCCGGAAGGAAGGGTTTACGGGAGTGCTGCTGCTGCCGCTCCCCTTGCTCCTGTTGCTGCTGTTGCTGCCGTCATGCCATTACCGGGCACACCCAAGCAGCCTTGCTTCCAGGAGAACATCAAATGCAGCACCAGCATCACAACTACTACCAGTACATATCGCCTGCAAACGACCCTGCCACCTAACAACCTACACCAGCCCTGTAGCTATCTCTACCTAACCACACAGCAGCGCCTGTTATGTCTACCGCCGATACGCTAGTGCGGTCCCCCAGCTACCGTCGGTCTTTATGTGCTGTCCTCCTGCCCTTAAGCCCGCCCTCCCGCGTAAGGCCTCTGCTCTGCCATCATCCTATCTACCGCAGCCGCCAAGCGTTGTACGGACCCGGCCTGCCGCCAAAATGGGATGCAAACAGACGCTGCACCACACAGCAAGCAGACAGGGCCCACGGAGAAATGTCAGAGAAAAGGCAGTTTCTATGTATGGCATCCCCTGCATGTTCGACCGTCGTAACCGCAGCTACCACCCTCCGCGCATGCATGCAGCTGCCCAGCCCCCGAGGCTCTAGCTGGTGCTAGCGAGGTGTCCGCCCACAGGCACGCAGCAGGAAAGCTCGCGCAGAAGCCACGGGCCAGGGGGAGCACCCATGAAGCCAACGAACACTTGGCACCCGGCTGTGGGTCTCTGGGCAGTCATTGGGTGCCCATTAATGGCTGCACGGCTAAGGGGCGCCTACAGCATATGCAGCAAGGACAGCGGTTTCCAGCAGAGCCAGCATCCTCCTAAACCCCTTTCGTTACTACAGCTGGGCTGCGGTAACGGCTCAACACGGGGCCCGCTGTGTCATCTCTTCCGTAATCCCTTTGCATAGCAGCGCACAGCCCCGAAGTCCTGTGCGTGGCTGCTTGGAGGAATGTTAAATGGTTGGTCGAGGAGCTGCACTTCCTCTGTGCCGCGCATCGCAAGCAAGCCGGCTGCACACAGCCGCCCACAACTGCTGTGCTACGCCGCTACTCTGCCGCAAGCGCGCGCCGCATGGGCCTTGCATGTTGCATGCGGCTTCCAGGTGCTGCTGCTGCCGCCTTTCATGCACGCTGCCGCTGCTTCTTCACGCCCTCGCTGCTGCTGCTGCCCCTGCCATTTCTGATACCGCTCCTGCAGCTGTTGCTGCCACCCCGTCCTGCTGCCCTCCTAGCAGGCCACCACCGCTGCCGCTGCCTCACAGCCCAGCTGCCCTCACAGCCCCGGTGCTTCCATGCGCGCCCCGCACATGGGGCAGGTGTCGCGGCGCTCCAGCCAGGCGTAGATGCAGGGCAGGTGGAAGTGGTGGCCGCAGCCAGTGAAGATCTTGGGGTTGTCTGGAGGTAGGGGAGTGCGGGGACAGGTGGGGCGGCCAAGGAGGGGTAGGTGCGGGGTTACGCGGGGGTGTAGGGGCCGACAGGACGAGTACGGCGGCTGCCAGGTAGTGGGTTGACGGTTAGTTTTGACGTCGGTTTCATAGTGCTGTTGTCACCTTCGCCCTTTGCCACCGCGCCCATGCTCACCATCCGAGTAGGGTTCCAGGCAGGTGGGGCAGAAGTCGTCCTCCTCATCTTGCACGGGGCCATAGAGCGCGCCTGCGGCCAGGTGTGCGCAGCAGGGCACACGCCTCTTAGGCACCTCAGACGACCAGTACGTTGCACATGTTTTAGGCATTGGAGCCACCGCATGCCGCGGCAATTCTGCTTACTGCTTACACACAGAGTAGATCCGGTGGTCAACGCAACGGCGCGCAACAGCGTTTGCAGTGGCACTGGGCAAGTGAGGTCCACATTACGTGCCAAAAAGCTGCAGTCGTAATGCTGGTAGCAATGTGCCAAGCAGTGCAGCGCGCGATATAGCAGCCAAGACCCAAGAGCTAAGGCTCTTACCCAAGAGGCTTACCTGGTCGCCCTGAGGCAGTGCTGGCCGGCGTCGCTGTCGACCCCGCCACCACCGCAGCCGCCACCCCCACAGCTACCGCCGCCCCAGGCGCCGCCACTACCGTACTCTCACTCGCCCGGTACACCTCAGTAAACTGTTCGTGTGTGGTGGTGGGAGGGGCAACGGAAGAAGGGTCGGGACTCGGGGGAGACGGGGAATGAGTGGGATTGGGCCGCCTTAGGGGCAATGACCCCCTCCTCAGCACCAACTACCAGCGCGCACGTCCAGCCCTCATCCCCTCCAATGCCCCCATCCCACTCCCCCCACCGCAGCCGCTTACCTCAGCTTGCCGGTGTCTTGCCTCTCCATGGCTCACGGCGCGCCTGTGCGAGGGCCGTGCGGACGTGGACTCGGCGCCCCCCGCCGGCGCATTCATCCCCGCCGCTGCGGCTCTTGACGAGGGAGCTACCGCTGCGGACGCGGAACCCGCTGATGGTTGCAGGTCGTAGCGGTGCAATCGCGACAGCGGCTCCGAAGTCCCCCCCGGCCCCGCGGCACCGTGTGTTGTAGCAGCAGCAGCAGCGGCAGCGGTTGATGTGGTCCCTGGGGCGGGTGCGGAGGCTGGGGGTTGGCGGGAACGAGGGGGTGGAGGCGGGGCGCGGGAAGGGTTGGACTGGTGAGGACCGGGGGAAGGGGTGACATCGCAAGGGGACAGAAACGTGTGGAAGTGTCATGGGTAATTGGGACGCACCGCTTGAGTTGTTGCGGCTGTGGCCAGGTCTTGGTAGCGGGGCGGAAGACGGGACAGACTGTGCGGGAAGGGGGTTGGGGCACACAACACGGGTTGAGGAGACTGCGTCGCGACGTTTCGTGGAGTATGCCCAGCGCACGTCCAGCAAGGCAATTTCCCGCTAGCAAAAGTTCTTCCGCAGGTTAATCGATTGTATAATACCGTCTTAACAGCTGGCGGGAGGAAAGCGCTGCCAGGTTACATTGTAGCCATACCTTGGGTAAAAGGGTTTGGCCAGCCTCCACGTCGTCGTTATAATTTTGGGCTGAGCGCTGCTGCTGGGCTACAGCTGCAGAAGTCGACGGCACCGGTGGCGCCTCGTAGAGGGAATTCTGATTCTCCAACGCTCGAGACCTGTTGGCGACCCCGAAATGGGTCAGGTTTATGTTGTTTGGTGCGCAGCTGCACCTTTTGCTTGCTAACCTGGGAGTTGATTCCCGCGACTCGTCGGTATCTCCCGTGAAGCAGTGGCAAAGCCGCTGGCACAGGCGCCCCAGCCATGCACAACGCGGAGCCCGACGGTGCGAGGCGGGCATTCTCCCTTCCATACCGTGAATGCGCCTGTATGCAATATCTTGTTCAAGTTCGGATGTTTCCATTAAGCTGAACAGGCAAGGCTAGGTGGTTTCGCCTGTTGCCCTTGTCTGTAAAACTACTTAGGCAATGAGACAAAGGAGAATGAGAATGGCTGCAACAGACATCCATTCCAGTGAGGACCTTCGGGGAAGTGATGGACCAGTTGCGAATCTGGATGGGCGCCAACCGTCGCGCATGAGGGCCATCCCGACTGTGCCTCGCCTCTTTCCTTTCTTGCACGTCCAAGACAGGTAGTTTGCCTTCCTTGCCTTTTTCATATATATACATCATATAAGCTGTAACACTTCGTCCATTGGCTGTTCATTCGCCACTGCATAGCCTTGACAAGTGTGTTTGGAACTAGTTAACAATGGCTACGATAGACCCCACGCTTCCAGTTGTGAAGAACCTTTTGCTGCTTGACTCGGAGGGGAAGCGCATCGCCGTCAAGTATTACTCGCCAGAGTGGTGCGCAGAGCACAAACAGCTATGCAGACTTTACAGCATGTTATTACGGTCAATGATCAGACTTTATGGGCTTGTGATGGAACAGGTCGACCGTGGCAAGCCAGGCGAGCTTTGAGAAGGCGCTTTGGAACAAAACCAGCAGGACTAATGCACGGGCAGAAGGTGATTATATTTGTTGGCTTGACTTAGGCGCCTTAGAGGTTTGCTTGGTGCTGGATACCGCGGAAATGCCAACTTCTGCAGAGATCATGGGGTCAAAACGATACCTTGCACTTCTTGGCATTTATCGTTTACGTTGTTTTGACTCTTGTAGCGGAGATTATCATGTTCGACAACGTCGTCGTCGTTTACAAGTGCATTGGGGACCTGATGTTCTATGTGACGGGTAGCCAGGACGAGAACGAGCTCGTCCTCTATACAGTACTCCAAGCCTTCTATGATTCGGTATCAATCCTCTTGAGGTACGCTTTCAGGCGGGCGACCCTGCAGTGCACGGAGCCCTCGACACGTGTTGCCCCCAACTCACCACCTTCTGAACCCTTGCAACCCTCAGACAACAAGTGGAGAAGAAGACCGTGCTCGAAAACCTGGATCTAGTGCTCCTGGCTGTTGACGAAATCGTCGACGGCGGGTAAGACTGGGGTATCAATCAGGATACACTCGGGTTAGAAGATTGGGTTTTACAGTTACTGGCCCATCGCAACCTGCTAAAGGCGTTCTTCCTAAGGTCGTTAATGTTGGTTGTTGATGGTGGGAGTCGGAACGGTCATGTTGTGGGTTGGGTTAAAGGGGAAGGTTCCAAAGGACGGGACATGCCTAAAGGTGCCTGTCCGCATGCTAGTCAGGAAGCCGCCTCCCTTCGGCCCATAGCAACTATCCAAGTCGTGCGCATCATGCACCTTAAGGCCTACACCACATACCGTACACCAAACACTGCAAATCTCCACGTGCCTGATGCCGTACTCGCAAACGCCCTACCCCCAACCGCCGTGTGCCCGCAGCATCATCCTGGAGACGGAGGCCCAGGTGGTGGCCTCGCGGGTGACCATGCGGGGTGCGGACGGGGAGCAGGCGGCGGTGCCCCTCACGGAGCAGGTGCGGCAACGGGGGTTGGTAGTGGGAGGTAGTGACAGGCAGTTCGTGGAAGGGGGTACAGAAAGGGAGGGCTGCCTTAAGTGGATGGGGCTAACTTCGGGGCGTGAATCTGTGCCGTGCCTGGGTTGGAAGGTGGCCCAGAGGCCCAACTTGCTGCCCCTGACGGTGTCCTAACCTCCGACCCAGAGGTGAGCCCTTTTCCATTCCCTCTTTCTGATGTGCCCATGTGCCAATCTCGTGCCTTGTCGCTCCCGCAGTCCTTCAGCAAGGCGTTCGCGTCAGCCAAGGAGCACCTGGCGCGGTCGCTGCTCAAGTAGAACCACAGCGCGCAGCGGAGGAGCCGCGGGGGGTGTTCGCACAGCCAGCCTTTTGCTCGTCGCCTTGGCATAGCATAGCTTGGCGGCTTCAGTGTTGGACGCGCAGCGCTTATGGGTGAGGATGCGGTAGCCGTAACCGTGTCACGCGGGAACCCTCCCCAGGTTTTAACTTAGTCAGGGTGAGAGGCGCATGTGCCGCGTGTTTCGAGCACATGCCATGTGCTCGGCGAGTACGGCGGACATATGATACAGCGGGCGGTTGTCCTGCTAGTACAATAAGGAAGGGGGCATGAGGAAGGGGTTTAGCATGCTGGGCTGTGCTATAAGCGAACGTCAACTTCTTTGGAAATGTTTTAGAGCGTTTATGGTTGAGCTTTCACCCAAGGGTGGTGTCTGCTGGTGTATAGTTGCTGGAACATGGTTTTGGCTTGATGGAAATGCACAGGTGCGGCGCAAGGCATGTAGCCTGTCAAAAGTCGCCTTGAGATAGTATGAATTCTCATAGCCTGTCGGTGATGTTCACGCGCTACATGTGCTATGATGGCGGCTATGGTGCAGTAAGCATGAAGGTACTATAACATGGGGTTTCTCTCTGGCAGCGCCCGCTTGCATTGATGCCCCTAGGGGACGGGGTATTGGGACTGGCGCCTCATGTAAGCGGTTGTTACTAAAACGCATATGCGCTTATGATGATCTATCCTTTCGTACATTGTGCGCATGTTGTCTCCCAAGGGGCGATTGGGCAGGGCATGTCAGATATGCGTGTAAGGCTCTTTGGCCGGCTTGAAGTTACACCTTCCCGTCCAAGCTCTACGACTGATACTAGGTGTCTGATCCCTCGAAATCCAGACCTACCTACTATCTGGGCGACAGCCTCAGAGCACCCAGGCATGGCGCAAGGTTTAGCTGCTCAGCAACACTCCGCCGCCTACCGGCCTATCTATACACAGCTTCCTGTTATGTCGCACAGTTCTGCCCATGACACATTAGTAATGCCAATGTCGCTGTATCCCCCCACCTAGTTCGTGTATGTTAGCCACGTCCTAGCTAGGGCCTTATAGAATCAGGTACCGGTAACTGAGAGTACTTCCTACTCCTCGTCGTTCCACATGCTGCCTTTTTAGGACATGCACACAGCTGCACCTGGCAAACCCTCCACATCATGCCGAGCCCTCAACTACAATCACAAATCTTCCCAACTGCTACTTCCCACAAGTTCTCTTTCACCCCACGGGTACTCTTTCAGCTCTACATACAATGTCACAGCATGCCCCCATGTCTTGTCCAGAGCGCAACTATCCATCCGTTCTACTGCCCCCAACTTCGCATCGTTGGCTACCCGCCCAACTCCCTTAAAGCCTCTCCCTCAACTCCTAAATCTGCGCCACGGCCCCTGCTTCCGAGCCCGCAATCCCCACCACACCCGCGGCCCCTGATGCTGCCGCTGCTGATCCCGCAAATACCGGCCGCAGCATCGGGTGGTGGAACTTGCATGCAGGACCGAATCGGCAGTCGTTGTTCTTCAAGTAAAACGAACACAGCGGCTCCGAAGGCCGCAGCGGCAGCCCCAACGACGAAAGCCGTACTGCAAACTCCAGGGGGTGGTCAAACACGCACGTCTCACCGAACTTGCAGTGGCCGGTCTTGACGTAAAAGTCGCAGTGCTGCTTGCCGGGTCGTCGAGGGAACTCCCGGATGTGACACTCGCCGTCCTCGCCGCAGGGCTCGTAGCCGACAAGAACCAGGGGGGCGGGTGCCGGTGTTGCGGGTTGTGCTGGTGGTGGTGGTGCCGGTGGATGAGGGTGAAGAGGAAGCGTGGGCGGTAGTAGGCCGGCGTTGGGGAATGGCGGAGTTAGGGTTTGAAGACCGGAGGCAGGTGGGAGGGAGGCGGCGCTTGGCGGCAGGAGAGGAGTAGCGGTTTGCAGATATGTGGCCTGCGGATCGCGAAAAAGGGGGCAGGTCAGAAGCAAGGAAACGGTACATGTGGAGGGACAGGGAAGGGGTGGGAGAAGGGGCTTCCTCCTGGGCTGAAGACACACACATCGTCAAGGGCTCAAGAGGCACGCACGTCAAGGCTCTCGGCAGCTTCTTGCCACTGCCACATCATCACTTCGCCAGTATCACCCAGTCCGGCCCCCATCCAGGCTACCCTGTAAGTCACAAGCCCAGGGAGCAACCCGGAACTCACCGCAGCGCCGTTGCTCATGCCCCCCGCAGCCATGCCCGCTGAGCTCGAGGGAGCAGCGGTGACTGATGACGCCACACGCCCCAAACCCGATGGGCTCTCTTCCTCCCCAGCGACGGCCTCCGGAACGGCCTGAGAAGCGGCTGGGGGCTGTTGCTGCGGCTGAGGTGCTTTGGGGGTTCTCAGGCAGGGCCCGTACTGCGCCATGTAGACCTGTGAGGGGGCGGAGTGCGTTGGGCTGGTAGCTTTGGTGCATGTTTCATGGTCCGGGAGAGCGGGACAGGCAGTGACCTAAACCCATAATACCTGGGTGCGAACACGTACGATAATAGCAACGAAAGATGCAGTTTAACAACACCTCCCACTCACAAACAACCCTCTATCCACCTGCACACCCCTCCCACCTGCACAAAGGCTTGTCCACCGCTACCACTGCTGCTGCCGGTCTGCTGCTGCCCCCCGCCCGCATGCGGCCAGTACTGTGCCAGCTGCTGCTCGCCGCCGCCCCCCGCCACCGCCAGGTGCCGCAGTGCGAAGACGTACACGCTGAGCAGCAGGCGCGGGAAGCGGGCGGTGAAGAAGCGCAGGAAGCCGCCCGGCAGGGGGCCCATCAGGGCCTGATGTGGAGCGGGAGAAGAGGGAGGCAAGGAGAAAGGAGGGAATAATGCATCCATGAAACGGGCAACAGAGTACAACATTACACAGGATCAGGGCAGGCATAGTGTTTGCAGATGCTGTAACAGCGTTGCGCAAACCAATACAGCTGACACAGCCGCAGGGCTGCCATCCCTCACACTATAACAAGCGCACCCGGGCCCCGCCCCCACCTGCAGCTGTTGCGGCATCTCCCTGAAGTGGTTTCGCTTGTTGCGCACCACCCGCAGCAGGTCCCGCAGGCTGGTGTACTCGTAGCGCCGGTAGCGGCCCAGGTTGGCGACCAGCTCGGCAGGCAGCGCGGCACCCCAGTTGGGAGGCGAGGAGGAGGAGGAGGAGGGCAGCGAGGAGGGGGGTGCGGAGGTGGAGGAAGAGGTGGCGGCGGTGGCAGGCGCACCGAAGGAGGTGGAAGTGGAAGGGCATGGGGCGCCTGCAGTGACGGGGAGAAGAGACGGGGAGGTGGAAACGGGCGAGTTACGGTAGCTTGCGGGTGAGTTAGGAGGTGAAGATTGGACCGAGGCCTTGTAGGTAGGTGTCTAAGGTAGATCGGGGGTCTTGCTGTTCTGCAGCATGGGGCAAGGGACGAAGGAGGTACTCCGTTCCCTTCCCCTCCCCGCCTTCCCCCCCTCCGCCCCCCTCCTTTCCCCGCACCTGGCGCCTCCGCCTCCCCGGGCAGCAGCCCCGGCCCCGCCAGCGCCACCCTCGCGAATCCCTCCAGCGCCTCCAGCAGCGAGGTGTCGGGCTCGCGGTCCTCGAACTCGATCCTGGAAGGGGGGTGGAGGAAAGAGACTTAAGAGGAGGTTCAGGATGTAAACGTCACAAAAGCGTTTACGGCAAACGAAACCGTGCTGACGCTACCCGTCTCTCCCTCCCTCCCATCGCCACGAGCTTGTTTGCCAGCCTCCTTCAACACATTGGGTATTCTTCTTTTCCCTCCCACCGCCACCCCCCATCCCCTACCTGTCGCTGATGTCCACCAGGAAGGCCATCCGCCGCTCGTCGCTCCACCACAGCGGGTGCCCCAGCACCTCCGGCAGCACCGGCCGCCGGCCCGCCTCCTTGCCCAGGCAGGCCCCCACCAGGTGCGCCGCCTCAGGGCCCGCGGCGGCGGCCAGGGGGCCCAGCCGGGGTGCGCCGTGCAGGATATTGGCGTCGCGCTCGTAGTGGGAGTCGCCGAAGGGGTGGCGGCCGCCTGGGGAGGTGGGATGGGAGGGATGGGAGGGATGGGAGGGACAGGTAAGGAAGAGGATCAAGGGGCTGGGCGTGGCGGTAGCCCCGTTCGGGTGTTGAGGAGGTGGATGCCACGCTTGGGCCAGAGGCCGGCCCTGTGGCGAGCTGGACTTGCATGCCAAACACGCCCTGCTGCATATGCACGCCCCACTGCAACTCTCCTCTAAGGGCAACATCGCCTTCTGAAGCCGCATGCTCCTACTTCTTGTGCACTATTGCTACCGGTACTTGTACACTGCTACCACGAGACACCCCCCATGCAGCACGCAGACCCATGCAGCACCCCACCGCACCGCACCTGTCATGCAGTAGTACAGCACACAGCCCAGCGAGAACACGTCCATGGACCGCGTCTGCCTCGCCTCCCCGCCGCCCCGCGCAATCAGCTGCTCAGGAGCCTGCCAGCCGCTGGAGCCGCCGGGGCCGCAGGACGGCCCGCCGCTGCTGCTGCTGCCGGCGCCGCCGCCCCCAGCACCGCTGCCGTACCCGCCCATGTGGCTGTTGTCGTACAACACGAAGCTGCTTTGCTCGGGGACGAGCAGCTTGGAGAGGCCCATGTCGGAGAGCTTGGCACGCTGACTGGACTGTTGGAGGGGGGGAACGAATGGGGTAGTGGGTAATGGCAATCACGGTAAGTGAAAAGGTTGAAGTTGAAGTTAACGGTGGGGGGCGACAGGAGGGGAAAAAAGGAAGTAGAGTCTGATGTTAGAAGGTAAGCGAACGTATCAACATATAAAATCAAAGTAAGGTGGAGGCTGGGGGGTGCCGGTAGTAGCACACGGGTAAGGGTGGTAAGGGCCCGCACCCAGCCAGCCAGCCAGCCAGCCACCCACCTCCGTGAGCAGTACGTTCTGCGGTTTGAGGTCCCGGTGCACGATGCCGCGCTCGTGCAGCGCCGCAAGACCCCGACACACGTCCAGCATGGCGGAGAGGCACCTGAGCAGGGAAGATGGTGCGGACATGGAAGGCAGCGGGAAGGGCGGGCGGGGGGCGAAGGAGTACCGGTCAACAGGCTGATGGATGCCGCAGCCGCCGTTGTGTGAGATACGCGCTCAAAGGAAAGGCACTCGCACACATGCGCACGGCTTCCATTACGCAGCAGGCCCAACTAAGACACAACCCCAGAGCGACAGCAGCAGGCCCCTGCCCGCACCTCTGCGTGGGCTGCCCGGAGGCTGCTTCCACGAACTGCTCCCGGCCGTCTGGACTGGTCAGGAAGTCGGCCAGGGTGGACCTGGGACGGGGAGGTGCGGAGCGTTTAGAGAAGAAGTGGGCTTCATTAAAGCAGTTGGAAGCCATGGCGCAAGGGATGAAGTGGCCGTGCTCTCCTTGCCGAGCCTCTTCCCCCGTTGGCCCCTCCACCGCACTATGCAACCAACAATCGTAGGGGTAAGATTTTACTTAACTACCATCACATCTGCACCCCTGCACCTCCCCAACCTCTCTCCCCCTCCCCCCCCGCCCCTCACCTGCACCTCTCCAGCGCCAGGTACACGAACTCGCGGTCCTCCTCCATGGCGAAGCAGCGCACCACGTTGGGGTGCTCGTCGCTCAGAATGAGCACCTCGATCTCCTTGCGAGCCAGCGCCGTGAACTGCCGCAGCAGCCGCTTCACGGCAACCGGCCTGGACATGCAGCGGGGTGGGGAAGGGCAGGGAGCGGGAGTGGCGCGCTGAGGATGGGGCTTTGTTGAGGCAGCGAACAGGCGAGAACGTCCGATAAACAGGGAATCAGCGCATCACTTCCAAAAGCCATTCTCCGAGACCAAGCATTTCTTGTTACGTTGCTAGAAGCAGACCAACTCACCTGCCGTCCAGCTTCCCCTCGTACACCACCGTGCCAGCGCTGCCGTACCCCAGTATGCCCGGCCCCACCAGCAGCCGCCCGATGGCCACGGAGCCGTCCGGCCGCACCTGCACCCGCGGCTCGGCGCTGGGCAGCAGCTGGGCGGCGGCGTCGGAGGTGGGGGCGGGGGCGGCGGAGAGGCGGGGCAGGGGCTGAGGGGAGGGGAGGGGGGAAAGGAGAAAGGAGAAGGAACGGCAGGGGTTGGGAACGGGAGAGAGGTTGCTGAAGTCAATGGCCAGCGCAGCAGCCCTGGTTGTCCAACTATCCCCGCTAACTCTGTATGCTGTCGCCAGCAGGACTGCAATACGGTACTGGCAACCAGGTAACGCAAAAACAGCAACTGCTTAAACGCCGCCAGCTCACCTCCCCAGAAGAGGAACCCCGCCGCTGCTCCTCTTCACCCCGGGACGACGGCGACGGCGCAGGAGCAGCAGCAGCAGCCGCGGCGGCGCTGCCGTTAACCCCGCCACTACCATTGGCAGCACTGCCTGTCGTATTCCGGCCCTTCCGCCTCCGCTGCTGCCCTCCGCCGCCGGCCGTCCTTCCCTTGCCGACACTGCTGGTGCTTCCACTACTGCCGCCCGTGACGGCGTCTACGTCCACATCTAGCTGCTGACCACCTCCGCCTGCTCCCCCCGCCGCCGCTCCTGTCGCTCCTGGTGCCTTAGCAGCCGCCATCTCCGCCGCTGCAGCTGCCGCCTTGCCCCGACCTCGGAGGGACACTACCACAATCACCACCACCGCACCCGCTAATCCCGCCACCACGACCGTTGCCCACCACGCCCCGTCAGCGGCAGCACCTCGGCCGCCGCCAGCGCCAGCGCCAGCGGCGGCGGGCAACCTCGGCCACTGGGCTGACGACCCCTCGCCGAGGGCCTGGGGCGCCGGCGACGTTTGTACGGCATTCGGCAACCAGGGCCATGGACCCCGGGGCTCCTTAGGCTCGTCCAGCGTGGCTAGGAGGTGCACGCCGGGAGGGCATACAAGCCCCGAAACCACACCCTCACCCGTTTCCACGTCAGCCATGTACGTCATGACGTCCGTACGGCTGCTGCCGCCGCCGCCGCTGCTGCTGTCGATTACGGCGAGGGCCTTATCCGCTGTGGTGGCGGCTGAGGCGGCGGCTGAGGCGGGGGAGGTGCTCGGGGGCAGCTGGGGTAGGTCGAGAGGAGTCGTTGATGCCGGGCCGGAAAGGGCCAGCGAGTTTGCCTGTGAGCAGCAGCACACGCCGGGAAGGAAGAATCCGTCAGGGAAGGACCAATGGGAGCTCATTAGCAGGGCAGTAGATGGCGTGCGTGTGTCACCACATCCACGCCTTTGAGATGCCATGCCGTACGAACATCATGGCAGCCCCTCAGAGCCCCCTTGCACCCCCCTACAGCCACCAATACCGTGTAGGCACTCACACCAATCCACCACCACCACCACCACCACCAGCCATCTGGGTTTATCTCCCTCTTCCTCGGCCCTCTCTCCCCCACCGCACCTGCACTCCCCCCTCCTCCAGTGTCACATGGTCCGCCGGCAGAGCGTACAGACTGCCCCGTAGTCGCCCCACCAGCACCTGACTGCTGCTACCACTGCTGCCGCCCCTCCCTCCGCTGCCACTGCCATCACTGCCTGCCGGGCTGCAGGTGCCACCCTCGGCCCCGCCCCCGGCCCCAGCATTGCCGCCGCTGTTGCCCTGCCGCCGTACCAGCGCTGCCAGCCCGCCCACACTCCAATCCGGACACTGACCCGGCCCCTGCTTGCCACCCTTGCCATCCCCCGGGACCTGCTGCTGCTGCGGCTGCCGTCCCCCTGCATGGGGGCTTGGCTGCTGCTGCTGCTCCTGCTGGTGGAGGTGGAGGTGGAGGCGCTGTGCGGCGCGCACCTCGGGATCCAGGAAGTTGGTGTCCCCCAGCCGGGTGGCGAAGACGCCCACGGGGGCCGCATCGAAGGAGAGCGCCCAGCGGCGGATGCGGGAGGTGGGGTCGTAGGCCTGCGGGCAGGGGGGAGTGGGGATGTGGGGTTGGAATGCGGGGTTGGGTTGAGTTGGGGGCCAATGCGCGGGTCGAGGATGTGATGTGAAGTTGTGGGGAGGGTCAATGGCGGGTGGGTACCGCGGGTGCTGCCTGCAGCGTGCGTCACCCTCCAGCCCTCTGGAGTGCAGCGCACCCACAGCCACACGCAAAAACCCCCACACCCCCTCACCCACCTGCAGTGTATGGTCGGCCCGCACCGTAAAGTACGGCAACGCATCTGCAGTGCAGCGGCACACACACGGCGAGTATGCTTGACACACGGAGGAGGAAAGCAAACCACCTCGTAATGGCTCGATACGGCGAGGCGCTGGCGCCTCTCACGCAGCAGTAACAACGAAGTGAACGCAATGATAGTTACTATTGCATCCTCGAGGACACGGTCGACAGGGCTGCACTTTCAGCGAAGATCAGCAGCCTTCCAGTGTCATCAAGCCTCGCCTCACCTCGCCCTAACCGACTGCCCCCCTGCCCTAAGCTACCTAGCGTCTCAGCCGCTGCCTGCTCCGCCGCCCCGGCTGCCGCCGCTGCTGCAGCTGCAGCAGCTGCCCCCTGCGGCTGCATGTTGACCAGGCGGCTGAAGCTCACATTCCACAGCTCAGCACCCGACTGCAGTGAAGGGACAGGGAGGGCGGTGAGAGGCAGAAAAGAGGTGATGGCAGTGATAGCACGGATGTTACAGAACAGCGTTGCGGTCGGAATCTTCGTTCCTAAACGGTCTTCCTTATCCCGTCACCGCCGACCCTCCCTCCCTCCCTCCCACTCTCCCTCCCTCCCTCCCTCCCTCCCCCCCACCTTGATGGACCGCACCACGAAGTCCTCCCGGCCCAGCACCACCACCCGGTCCGGGTCCGGCAGGGGCAGCAGCGCCCGGTCTGGGGGGGGGGAGGAGGGGGGGAGGCAGCACACGCGCAAGAGTGAGCATAGGAGGCAGGATTCGGGTTGCAGGCGCCGCACGCAGTGCAAGTCGAGTGCGAGAGAGCTGCTTGCTGTCGCTCGCACTGCCTTTTTACCCGACCCTCTACAGCATCATGCACCCCTAAATCCCTGTCGCCACCCTCTTGCCGCCTCCCCCCGGCGCCGACCAACCCCACCACCCGCCTCTCACCCTCCAGCCCAATCGTAGCAGGGCTGCCCACACCCACACCCGCATCCGCGCCCAGTCCAGGGCCGGGCGCCGCTCCTGCCGCCTCCCCTGCTTCAGCCGCCGCTGCTGCTCCTACTCCTCCCGGACCTGCACCAGCACCGCCCACTCCGCTGCCAACCCCCGCCCCTGCTGCCGCCGCTCCTCCGCCTAACCGCTTGCCCGTGAGTCGGTCCAGCAGCAGCACCTCCGTGCTGCGAGCGCCCGTGATGAGGGAGCCGTCGTGGGTGACGGAGGGGGAGGCGGCAACCAGCTCAGGCAGGGAGATGGGCAGCCGCTGTGGGAAGGGGGGATTAGAGTAGCAAAGGTGGAGGGGCGGCAAGGGGGAGGGAGGGAGGTGAAAGGAGCAAGCAAAGGAGAAGGGGTGTAAGGGTTCCTGCGGTGTGGGCAGAGGACTTGCTGTTGGCCCTTCACGGTGTGTATATGAGCTCCTGCTTGCGCCCTACCTCGAGTTTGGTGCCGGAGGTGGAGCCATCTGCGGTAGCCAGGGCGCTGCCGTACAGGTACAGTCGGCCGTCCACGCCAGGGAAGATCCGCAGGTCGGGCACCATGGCTTTGGCTTGCTTTGCGGTCACCAAAGGGGTGCCCGTGTCGTACGTCCACATAACTTCGCCGCTATCCATCCGTACGGCTACCACGCGACCATCCAGGAGGGTAACCACCAGCAATGCAGCATCCGGACTGCGCGTTATAATAACAATATGGAAAGGGCAGGTGTCCAGAACCTCGTCTAGAGGAAAAACGTTTGCGCGGATTAGGGCTCTGGAACGTCAACGGAGCTGCGCGATGGTGGTTATGCGCGTGCAATATGTTGTGCCGTGAACCAAGTAACCAGATCTGTCAGTGGCACAACTTGCCTTTCTATCACCGGCGGCCGATATTCAGTAAGGACTCGGCCGTCGCGGACGAGGCCATTGCCAGCCCTTGCAAGGGTCGAAAGGAGGAACAGCACCGCGCTTGCAATTCCCAGGCGCGCGGTAGTGCTCATCCTCAATCCTGGTTAAATTGCTGCGCCAGCATAACGTATTACTGCATTGGTGCTTGCTACATAGTAAAGCTGCAGGTTGAGTGGCTTGAGTGTCAATTCCTATATGTACGCCATAACGCAATTAATTGTCGCGCCGCGCGATAATTGCATTAGCTAAAGCCAGTAAGGGTACCATGTGGAGAAGCGTCCTGCGCGACAGCTGTGGTTCTGCACCTCGGCAATAGCCTAGAAGGCTGACAAAACTGCATAGGAATATATGTTCGGAATGAAAAGTTAGCTGAAAAAACTGCACAGTATGAGAGACACGGGGCTCGGCTCTCGCGTCGTACATGCCTGGGGTGGAGAAGTCGGCATCCGTCATACCGGATACGTTTTGCTATATGTTATCGTACACTACCTTTTGCTTTAGGAGTGAACTTACTGCTCTCTAAGTTACGACCAAGAAGTTATGATACGTCGATGTAATTATCTCGCGGTTCACCCTGCTTCAACCAGGCGCCCGGTACTTATTATGTGAAGTGTACTATAGACTACTAATGGTAGCACATCCACGGCAGTTAGCAGACCTTGTATTGGCGAAAGCACGCAGCAAGCATAAATGCCCTCTGCGCTCGAGGATGGTCTCCCTCCACACTTACGGCGTAACATAGAGGACTCCCTTAGCGGCAAAAGGGACGTCCTTAAGGTGCGTGGGTGCTCATTGTGCCTTACAGCATGCAGCATGCCTACATGCCGTCGGCCTGGTTTGGCCTAGAGAATACAGTGCCAGCGGCGGCCTTCAGGCTTAGCCACATTATCCTCCCCTTACATGCCACCTTTGACTTCGCTTTGTGACTGCACCCACCCATTCTCTCGAACCACAACCCGGTAATTCCTCACTCATCTCATCACCTTACACCTTCCAATCTGCGCTTCCCATGCCATCCCCCCCTCTTCACCACCCGCTTCCCAACCCCAAACGTTCTCCAGCCGCCGCCCCGCAAGCGTCCTCCAAACGTTCCCATTCCTGTCACCCTCGCCCACCTCGAAGACAACGCCAGCTGCTACGCCAGCAGCTATCGCAGCCTCAGCCCCACCTTACGACCACATCCTCAAAGCCACCCTCACCAGCCTCAATACGCCGGCTCTGATGCGTCCTTTGGTACACCCTTGTCGTACAGCACATGGCGGCCCGCCTCCGCCCATGAGGGCTGCAGCGGTGGTGGCGGCAGCGGCAGCCGCACCGGGAGCCCCTCGCGCCTCGAGGAGCTGCTGGCGGCTCCGCCCAGCGGCCCAGCCGTGCTGAGTGTCGCACGTGTGGTGGGCAATGCGTGGTCTCGGCAGCAGGAGCGCGAGTGGTACCGGGGCCAGCTGGCGTTGAGGCCAGGTGGGTGCAGGGAAGGAGGAGGTCCCTACCGTATGCAGTGAAAGCGCCTCCTCATACCCACCGTAGACAACCACCTGCAACCGCAAAACGGGCGTGGTTTCTTGCTCTTGGTTTCATTTAGCATCGACCATGCGTGCGACTGCGACCCATGGGTCTGGGTGGGTCTGCTGCCATTCACTGCCGCTGCTGCTGCTCCCTCACCCTCACTACCACCGCCCTCGCCGCATGCAGAGCGTGTTGTCGCCGAGTCGGAGCGGCTGCTGCTGGCTGCCATGGGCCCCATCGGTCTGGACCCCTCCGTGTGGCGCAAGCTGCCGGACAAGGTGGAGGCGCTGGCGGAGCGGAACGTCATGCGGCAGGAGGCGGCGGAGCTGCAGAGGTGGGCGGGGAGGGGGGTGGGGAGTGGGCAGAGTGGGGCAGGGAGTGGGCAGCGAGGGAGTTGCAGGGGTAGGGAGCGCCTGGTAGAGGTGAAATCTATTAAGGGCTGAGTACTCGCACGCCAGCCTGTGTTCGCTGACTGCTGCCGGCGTCCCAAGTTGCTTACACACTGCGTTACGTTACCTGCGTTACCGTCCAATCCACAACACAGGTTGCGGCTAGAGGAATGGCACCCCTCCCTGATAGCGACCTCCGCCACCGCTGCCGTGCAAGCAGCTGTGCAAGCCGTTCGTAACGGCAGCAGCGGCGGCGGCGGCGGCAGCGGAGCTGCCAGCAGCAGCGCTTGCGGCAGCGAGCGGCCTCGGTCCTCCCGCGGCTGCAGCGGCGGCGGCGCTCCCTCCGTGACGAGCAGTACGACAGCGGGCTTCGGTTCCCACTCGGCTTCGTCTTACTCTCGTGGGAGCAAGTCATCTGCTGGCCCGCACTATGCCGAGGTACGTAGGTTTTTGTCTACTGGGAGCGTGATTTGGTGGCTTAACAACGTACGCCGTAACCTCCAAACGTCACCTTATCGTTGACAGAAGGGATTGGTATAACGCGATAAGGAACTGAAGTGTTCCCTATCTTTCTCAAACACCATGGGCGCCGCTGTGCATGTTCGTAGCCCCACCTCAATGTTCCCCGCCCCTCCGTCCCTCTCTTCAACGCACCCCGCAGACCGACCTGGAGCGCCACAGGCTGCAAAACGCCCTGCTGAAGCTCATAGAGAAGCAGGAGGCGGAGGCGGCGGAGGAAGAGGCGGCGGCGGAGGCGGCCAGCGTCGGCAGCAGCGCGCCGCCAACCCCGGGCCCCTTCTCGCCGGGCAGCGCCGCCGCCGCCGCCTTCGGCCTCTGGCCTCCGTCCCCGCCGCCACCATCCGCCCAATCCTTCAAACGTGCCGACACCCTAGCCAGCTCCGCCTCCCCCACCGCCGCCTCCGCCGCCGCCCGAAGGAGCTACGGCAGCACCGGCGCGCACAGCAGGTCCGCTGGTGGCAGCAAACCCTTCAAGCCCTTGTACGGCAATTCCACATCCACCTCCGCTGGTGCCGCCGCTGCTGCTGACGGCAACGGTGACGGCGACACGGAATCCAACTCCTCCACGGCAGCGCCGCTGAGCCCCGGTGCCCGGGCGCTGCTGAGTCGGCAGTCCTTCCGAAACAGCCGGGCCGCCTGGCACCAGCGGGAGGCGGACCGGGAGGCGCGGTGGAAGCAGCAGTCGCGGCAGCTGGCGGAGAGGGTGGTGGAGTATCTGGAGATGGAGAGCCCGGCGGCGGCAGCCAGGAGCGCGAGGGCGTCGGCGGCAGGTGTGGGCGGTAGAGGGTGGAGGATTTTGCCCTGCACGATGCTGGGATGGTGGTATTAGCTTTGATGTTGCTTCAAGTTGCTTGCTCTCCTGATACGTGATGCGCGTCCTTTAGTTGTCATGTGACGGCTGTACGGTTGTTAATTCGCAGGGTTCAACACGCCCTACCGAGGGACCCGTGGGTCAGCCGCAAGCGCCACTAGCGCCGTCACCACCACAACCACCGCTTCCTCAGCCGCCACCACCACCTTGGCCACTACCGGCAACATCACAAGGTTCGCTCTCAACCTGGGTGGCAGTGGCGGCAGTGGCAATAGCGCTGCTGCCGCCGGAGGTATCGGAGGTGGTGGCAGCGGCAACAGCAGTCCTCCGGGCGCCCTAACATCCCGCATGCAGCACCAGCAGCCCGTGGCGGCAGGTGGTTGCGGTGGTGGTGGTACGGCGGGTGTACGGATAGCGGAGCGGTCGCTGTCTACGGCATCTGCGCTGTCGGGCGTGTCCGGGTCGTCAGCGGGGTCCGCGGCGGCGCGGGAGGAGGAGATGGAACTGGACTTGCCGCCGGAGCTGGTGAGCGCTTTGAAAGGTTTGCAGCCTTCTAGTTACCGGTATCCATGCGGAAATAACAACAGATAAAATGGAGGCTTACCTCGGATCTCTTTCTTACTCCTACCACGAAACCCAGCGCCTCTTAGCTGCACCCCCAACTCCATCTCTTTCAGGTCTTCCCGCGGTCACCGTCCGCGTCCCCCTGCGGCTCACTCGGTTTAATCCCGACCCCCTTTTTCCGGCCCCCTCTTTGTTTCTGCCCCCCAGGCCGCCCAGGCCGCGCTGCTGGTGGAGCGCTACGAGGCCGCATGCGACCGCCACGGACTGCACCGCGAGGCGGAGCTCAGCGCGGCACTGCGGCGCAGCTTCATACAGCAGCCGCCGCCCTTCGTGCCCGCGACCGCAGCGGGGGCGGCGGCGAGGGCGGCGGCGGCGGCAGCTGGGGATGAGGATGTGGACTCCGCTGCCGGTGGAGAGATGGTGGTGGTGAGCGGTTGCAGCAGCTGGTGTATGTTGATGACTTCAGCCCTTTAGGCCTCCCTTAATCCCCCAGTCCTCTCCCCCTCCTTTCCCTCCCGCCTTTAGCTACCCGCCTCTTAAACCCTCCCTCCTTCTCCGTTTCTGCTCCCTCCTCCCCTCCCCCTCGGTGTGGTATGGTCTTTGACTCCCCCCTCGCCCCTTCCCCCCGCCCCGCCCCCGCCCCGCCCCTGCAGTACCCCCCCGGCCCGCACCTGCACCTGGTGGCGCTGGCGCTCACCAGCCGGGAGTCCGCGGCGGCGCTGGGGGAGGTGCTGCCCGCCTGCACACACGTGCAGGGTGAGGAGGGGGTGGAGGGGAGGGGCGCATGCAGACAGGCCGCAGGAGGGATGGCTGCGCCTGCCGTGGCAGCAGCATGCGGGTTATGTACTTGCAGCGTTGCAGGGTATGATGCGGGAAGTTAGGACTAGCGGGGTGGCTGAGCGTTCCTGTAGCTAGTGGGGTGAGGGAGCATTGGGAGCATACGGTGGACCGGAGGAGGGGGTAGCGGCTTTGCTGTCGGAATGTGTCCTGTCACCTCGAATGTGGCCTTGCTCCCGCAGGCCGGGAAGCTGTGAGGCAAGTAGCAATCCCATTACATCACTAAGCAAGCATCTGCACCTCTGCTCATCCGTCCCGATCTAAGCCGTTACGTGCCTTCCGTCTCTAACCCATACCCTCCCAGGATCCGTTTCCCTTCCATGAATCCGCTCCTCATCCCGTATCGTTGCCCGCCACCTATTGCTCCATCCTCGCCCCCATCCTCCCCTGTCACCTACCCCTCCCTCACATACCCATCGCATCCTAACGCCTCGTTTCCTCCTCTCCTCCCACTCCCTCCCTTCCATGCCCCGCCCCCCCCCCAGCCCTCACCCTGGAGCGCTGCGTGCTGTCCCCGGACGCGCTGTCGGTGGTGCTGCCGGCGCTGTGGGGCCTGCCGCTGCGGGCGCTGCACACACCCAACACCGACTTCCCGCCGCCCGCCTGGATATGGCTGCGGGTGCGAGCGAGGCGGGCGGAGAGGAGAGGGATGGTGCTGCGGCTGCCTTTACCCCTGTGCCTTTACCGCAGATCAACTGTTGCAGGCAGACGAATAAGCTAAGGAAGAAGAAGTCATCCGCTCGCTAACTTCCTTTTGCCTTCTTCTTTCTCTGGTCTACTAACGCTTGCCTAACCAACCCTCCTAACGCACCCGCCATCTCTCCTTTCATCACGCTCCTCCCTTCCCCGCTCCTACTGATTGCCTTTTCCTTTTGCCTCCCTCCTCACCCCTCTTCCCCCCCTAACCAACCCTCCTCCCCCCCCCAGCGCGCCCTGGGCCGCCCCACCGTGTCGGGTGTGGAGGCCGCCTGGTGGGGCACCCTGCGGCAGCTGGGGCTCACGGGGAACGCGCTGGCGGACCAGGGGCTGTGCGCCGTCGTGGAGGTGAGGAGGCGGGGAGCATGGAGCCCAGGGGAGGGTGGCTGGGGTTGCTAGTTTGCGAGGGCTCTCAGGATAGCGGCTGAGCGCCATTGCATGGAGGAGTGGGTGAGACAAAGTACCAGCCATTGGAGTCGATATTGGGTTCTTTGGCTTGTTCATGTTGTTCGTAGAAGCAGTCCGGTAGCAGGGATGGTGCACATGAGCTTGGTGAGCCTCCCCCATGCTGCCGCCCCCCAGGTCCTGGTCGACATGCCGCGTCTGGAGTACCTGGGTTTGCGGCAGTGCGGCCTCACCGACCTGTCCGCGCCGCTGCTGGGCCGCATCACAGCGCACTGCGGCAAGTACTGCTTCCCGGGCGCCAACAACGGCAACCAGCACAGCGGGGGCAGCAGCAAGGATAAGGACAAGGAAGCAGCCGGCAGAAGGAGCCGGGCGGGTAGTCACCGGTTCCGCAGCCTCGGCCGTGCCGTGCATGCAGCCACTGCTTTTGCCACGGCGGCAGGTGGGGGGTCACCGAGCAGCAGCAGCAGCAGGCACCCCCGTGTCAGCCACCACCTCAGCAACCGCAGCAGCTACGCTCGCAGCCAGGGCGGCACCAGCGCCGCTGGCGGCAACCACACGGGCGGCAGCAGCGATGATGACAGCAGCAGCGGCAACGGGGGCGGTGAGGGCAGTAGGAGTGCAAGGAGGGCCAGGCGGGAGCGCGGGCGGGCGCTGCTGGCGTCCCTGGTGAAGGGCGCGGAGGGGCCGCTGGGCGGCTTGCGGGAGCTGGACCTGGGCTTCAACAACCTGGGGCAGCGGGCCATGGGGGCGCTGGCGCAGGCGCTGCCGCTGGTGAGTTGGGGAGGGGATTAATATGGTTGGAAGATTCCGCATTAAGCTGGAATTGAGGATTGCGCATAGTCCATTTTCGTTGGGTTAGTAGCAGCACACAAAGTACAAACCGTGATAAAGCTCCATAAGCTGGCGGCTGTGCTGAGATCATCATCATTGGACGAATCCCTGACGAGCTATAAGCTGGCGTCTGAGCTCCACTGCATTGCTGTGCGCAAATGCGCTGTAAGCTGTGGCTGGTATGCGGCTGAGGGGAGGGGAGGGGAAGACGTGTGTTGGGTTGGAGCTGATCTGACATACGAGGCACGTAGGGATCAGATGAAGAGAGGGACGGAGGCACCGATCGGCAGCCATTGGTGCTGCCCGGCGCGACGGACGGAGAGGGGTTGGAGTGTTAGGCTCATGTGCCGGACTGGTTAGTGCCGTATGCACTGCGGTCTGTTGAGAGGGTCTTGGCGTGTGCAATACTGCTTGAGCTATAGGTAACACAACTGGCGTCCTTCAAAACACAGCCACAACCACCCACTCACATCCACCCCTGCAGGCCCCCCGTCTGACGCGTCTCAGCCTGGCTTGGAACAGTGTTGGCGGCGGCGGGGTGGCGCAGCTGTGTTGGACGCTGGTGCGGCTGCGGGGGCACTGCCGGCTGCAGGAGCTGGACCTGGCGGGGACGGACCTGGTGGCGCAGGTGGGGGCGGGCGGGCGGTGTGGTGGTCGTTTGGATGCGTGGTTGTGTGGTATTTGGTGGTTGGGAGCACGGGAAGAGAGGTTTAGCGTGGAAGCAGGGCTGGAGGGCTGGGTGCCGTGCTTTGCCGTGTGCAGAATTGCGTCGTGCTGTTGCCCTACCGCACCCGTGCGCACTGCTGCCGTGCTCAACAGCCCATCCGAACTTTCATACCAGTGCCAAGCAAAAGACTGGGCGGTCCTTCCCCGTTCGCCCAACGCAACGCACAGGACATGTTCGCTCTGGCTGCCGTACTCCGCTCCTGGCCGCATACCTCCGTACGGCACCTCAACCTCTCCTGCAACAACCTGGTGGGGGTGGCTGCGCAGTGCCTGCTGCGCCACATGAACCGCCTCATGATGCCCTCACCCGAGGAGATCGAGCAGGAGGAGCTAGATGACGAGGAGGGCGGCGGATGGCCGCAGCCGCCGCCGCCGGCCCGAATGCCCAGCATCGGCGGCGGTGTCCTCGGCACGCGAGCGTCAATGTACGACGACGGCGGAGCTGACGGCGGCGCGAACGGCCCTCGACCGCTGGTCCCGATCCTCAAGGGCGGCGCAGGCGGCGGCCGTAACGACGGCCCCGTTAAACGGCTAACCATCAACCCCAACCCGCAGCCTCCGTCAGCGCCAGCGGCGGCGTTGTCATTAACGTCCAGCACGCCGCCGTCATCGCCGCCATCGTACCGTGCTTCCGGTGTCGGCCCATTTCTGTCGTACGGATCATTGAGTGGCGCCGCCGGGGAGGCGCTGACGGTACCGCTGGAGCCGCCGCCGGGTCTAGCCAATGCGCGTCCCTCATCCGTTGCCGCCGCCACTGTTGCAGTGGCTCACGTGCGCGCTGCTGCTGTCGCCGCGGCGGCGGACCCCGAGCCCATGCTGGTCAACACCACGGACTGCCTTGTGGTTCCCCACATGCCGCCGGGCTTGCGGCCGCGCGTCCGATCCGATGGGCAGCTCAGGCAGTCGACGGTAGAGGCCGCCGCAGCTGCTGCCGCCAACGCTGCTGAGCGTTTGCGAGCACGTGAGCGGCGTATCAGCAGCAGCGGAAACACCGGCAGCAGCGTCGCGATGGTGCGTCAGGGCGGTTCGCCGCGGTCTAGGTCGCCGACACGGGCGTTGACGGCGCAGGAGGTGGCAGCAGCGGCCGCCGCCACTCGCGCGGCGGCGGAGGCGGCAGCAGCGGCGGAGGCCAGGGCGGCGGCGGAGGCTAAGGCTGAGAAGGAGGCGGAGGCGGCTGCCTTCAGCGGGCCGCATGGGGTGTACAGTGCAGCGCTGGACTTGCGGATGGACTTGCCTGATCGGGCAATCGCTGCGCTGCTGATAGAGCACGAGATGGACATGCGGCGGCATGGCTACCGCTCCACGTTCCTGACCGTGAAGTGGCGTGGCAAGGTCTACAAAAGGTGAGCCTCCGCTGAGGGGAGTTCTGTCGCTTTTTATTCCTCCTTTCGTGTGTCTCCTTTTTCATCTATGGAGTCGTCCAACCGCAGATGCACTCCTCTTGCTGCCCCCTGCCTCTCCCCTTTCTTGCCACCTCCTCGCCCCGCTGTTTCCTTCCTCTTACCCCAGGGACGGCGAGGAGATCGAGCCGCTTGACGTGATGTTCTCCGGCTGGACGCACCACCTGCCGTACGAGGGGGTGCTGGAGCTGCGGGTGCGGGTGCTGCCGCCGCACCTCTGCCCCTGGCTGGCCAACCGCCGACTGCACTTCAACACACGCAGCTGCTGATGAGCCAGCGGGGCTTGTCCGTTGTGGAGCTTCTGCCCAACCAGGCCGCCTGGCAGCCAGAGCCATGCCGCTATATAAAGGCCCAAACCAATAACAAGTAGAGTGGGGTCGCGAGACTTTGAATGAAGCATCAAGGACGGGCACTGCCCGGGTGGCAAGCAGGGACCTGAAGCAGGTCACCACTGGTCCAGACGTGCTGCGGTCAGCAAAGGCCTCAAAGAGTCGGTGTCAATGCGACATGCTTGCCAGCCTTAGCTGGACAAGGGGGTGCCAGCTCGTCATGTCATGCAGAGAATATACAACAGCGGGGTTGATGCCTGCGGCTAAACCATCTCATCACTCATACTTCGAGAGGCGTATGCTCAGTGTAAGGGCGGGGGGGCGGGCCATGTACGTTTCTTGCACGTGAGGTGAACCGCCCATTGAGCGGCGAACGCGTTTGGAGCCGCTGGGGCCCGACATAACTACGCCACACGGTGTAAAGGCAACCGGTGGATTTCCGAGGAACAGCAGCGCTTGCCTTTCTTACTACTGCTGTTCTTTGCCCTAAGCATAGACGTGTAGAAACAAGCATCATTGTGCGGATGCCCAGCACTTCGTCAGGGGGGGAAGAATTTCACCGCCCCCGCTGACACACCCAGGATCAGTCGAGGGGGCGGGGTTCGTAATAATTCCCACGTCATTTCGGCCCCGTGGTTGGCACAGCTTTACAAGATAATTATTAATTACGCAAATGATACTCTCTGTGCTGGTACATACACGAGGTACAAAAGGACTGTTCACGCACGGTACTGTACACGGTACACCAGACCGAAGCGATCTCATGGCCTGCCCAAATGGTTGTGTAGCTGGCATGGAGGGCTGACGGTGCGGCGGGGTGCGTGATTGGGTGTGTGTTTGCGGCCGTTTACGAGGGTGGCTGACGAGGGGGGGCTGACGTGGCTGCTTAGGAGAGTGTCACATGGGCGTCCCGTTTGGGAGGGTTGGTTGGCAGCGTTGTAGGGACACATGAGGGAGGCGTTTACATCGTTGAGCGGCAGGCCAACACAGGGCCAATGGGCACATTGCACCGGCAAGCCCGGCGTCTGCGGCCCTGAGGGGCTTGTCGTCTTGCCAATAAGGAGGGTCGCAATTGCGATACTATGCAGCCATAATGTTTGATTTCTGTGCCTGCTTCACGGCACCCCGCTTAACTTGCATATGTACCCTTCCTACCTGAGAGCCCAGTGTCAAATTGTGAAAGCCATTCCTCCTCATTTGCCATGTGAGCGTCATGGTAGAGGGGTGTTCGCGCAAGGTACCGTAATGCGCCAAGGACAGCTTGGGGTTGGATCATCTGGCGCATGAAGGTCCGCTTGTACTGCAGTTTGCGTTTCAAGCCAACCAGTACGGTTTCGCTGTCGTCGAGGTGCCGCGGCAGCATCTGCTGTACGCGAGTTAAGTCAACGGGGACGTTCACAACAGATCCTAAGGGCGAGGGGCAGGTTGAGGGCAGATGTTTGGGCCAGGCGGGTTGGGAGAGGGCTAGCTACGGCCTGATTTGGGAAGACATTTTGGAGTCCGTGGTAAGGGTAGGGTGAGTGCAGATGGTTGGGTCGGATGAGGTGAGACCATACTAGCTAAGGACAGTCATAGAGAGACTATTCGCAGCCCATCGGAAGGAAATGATAGGAAGTCTTTCAGTGATATAGTGGCAGATGGGTCTTGCATTTTGTAGCAGGTTTACTGTAGGGAAACACCATGGAACACGCTTCCATAGGATGTGAAATAAGTGAAAATTCCTCACGACTTACCCCGGAGGCCATGTTGATGCCCAGCAGGAAGCCTCCTTAACTGGAGGAAAATAATCCGCCTAGCAATGAGCCTTTCTGCTAGCTCTGGAATGCCCTGAAGCTCGACTGGCACAACTGGGAATCCAAGCCCATTGTCTACGGATGCTATTTAAGCATGTATGGCATATATGCCCTATGCCAGTTCGAGCTACCCATCCTGCAAGGTTTGTTGCCCACACTTCGCTGAGGGTGTCATACATGGTATCCGTGACCTCCACCACTGAATGTTTGAACAGACGTCGCTCACAGCAGCAGCATGCGGACGAGCAGGTTTGGGAGAACGCTTCTCTGCACGCCTTCTCAGCAACTTCGACACACGAGTGCGTGCTGGTGGTCGGGAGCCCAAGGCCGTCGGAACCCACATCTGCCTCGTTCTCGGTGCCGGGTTCGTCTTCATCTGAAAGGGCATGGCGCGAACCCAAAACTCCGTCATCTATGTATCTCAAGCAGCAAGTGTGCACTGAGGCTTATCCAACGTTTGTGCGCTTAAATGAAGGCCGGAGCTATAGAACCTTTGTCAATGCCCCACAACTAGCAAATATTGGCAAACAACCAATAACCCACCAATGTCACCATCCTCCACACCGCTATTGTTGCTGACGTTTCCATTATCCTCTGATGAACATAGAAGACGCTGAGTTTTCGCCAACTGCCGAAGTCGGTAGTGCACTTGATGGTACGTGGCAGCACTTCCATTCAACTCCTTTACGACAGCGCCCGCTGTTACTTTTCTGTTGGTGGATTGTAGCGTGAGCACTGCTTCCTGAAACGCTGCTTCCTCGTCCGGAGTCCACTTTGCACGCTTCTTCGAAGGCTGAGTGGTAGCGTTGGGCCTAGGCCGGATATACTTTTGCACGGCTTTGTTGTATTGCAAAAAGCTGATAACACGTTTATACGTCAAGCCCTTCAAGCGCGTGTCGGAGCACACTTCGTCATGCAATAGCTTGGCAGTAAGTTTCAGTCCGCTAGAAGCAATAGTCTCGGCTGCTTTACACAGAGCGTCAACTTCATATGTTTTCATGCATTCCCTGGCCATTGTGTGTATTGAGTAAGGAAGGCAAAACCGAAGCCATTGGTGTCGGCCCTATTAAACTACGCTGCTGGCCTTACCGCGACAACAACCTAACGGGTACCAACGTGTAGCAAGCTATCGACATGCGCTTAATGCCTCTTTTTTTGTAACTTGTTTTGTACTTTGTACGACACAGGCCAATATCACTGCTCACCCATATACACATCATTATTTTAACATCACAATACAACAAACACGTGTGCATTGATTATGTGACGAACGCTGCAGCTAGAAACTCCTCTCTACTCATAACAATCGTTCTTGACTTGGAGCCACATCGCAGGTTGCCTTTGTGACTTGCATATACACATTCAAATTCCAAACCTTTTGCAAGAAAAAGATGCCAAAAAGCTCACGCGAAAATCTGTTAAATTTGCCGGGGTGTTCACTAAGGCTGTTCCCTTGCTTCCAAGCCGCGGCCTGGCGGAGCGTCTAGAATCAAGGGCAGGCCAAAAAAGGACACAAGGTCTCGGTCTGGACAATTAGGACCGAACGCTAAGACTACGGGCGAGCCAACCTAAGCATGTCACATAACGCTCTTGCCACCGTACACTCCCTAAACATGTGAATCCTGTCTCCCCTGACCATAGCAGCCAAACAAGGGCATCTTGTCACATTCCCCCCTAGCCGTTCTGCCTCATTGCCTTTCTCCTGTCTTTGCGGTGTCTACCACCTCCAGGCCCGTGCTTGCCTTACTCTAGGCGTGCTGCACCGTCTCTTGTCTCGGCGCAGGGAAGTGCTTAACCACCTCGTTCCATTAAGCCAGCTTTAGGTAACCTTTGGTAGCACAGCCAAGTAACCCACTCCGCTGTGGGGCCGGCTGTGAAGTAAACCCCAGGAATCCACCCTCATGCACGACGCATTCCTAAATCCCGTCGTGTGTACCGGCACATGTCATGCAACCTTGCAAAAGGGACTATTCGGACCACGTGAACAGTGCACCACAGCGAAGTAAGGATACGTACAACGCGTGCCTTCTCTTAAAATGATGTCAAGCATTGCGCACCCCTACACGTGGCAATGGCTGTTGTGTTAGGTACAAAGAGATGCGCACGGTTGTACGGCTGGTAGTGGGTAAGGGAGTTTTGGGTAATGGGTAGGGGGGTGTTCCTCAGCATGCATGTACGTAGATGGATGAAACCCATATCAATAAATTGCATTGTCGACCACTGCACGTGACCAAGATTCTAATTTGGTTTATCCGACAGCAGATAGTGGCCGTGGGTAAGGGAGTTGGGGTGTAGGAGGAATGTAGGATCAAGGGTCACTTAAGGAGTAGCAGGCATGCATGCAGCAGTCAAGGATACCGGTATGTTGTGCTCACTTGCAGACGCATCCTCTGCCTACTGCCTACATCACGCATGCGCATATTGCAAGTTACATGTACCGTATGTACGGAGGGGTGTTGCTGTTCAAGGATTTGCAAGACTTGGTGAAGGGCTGGGAAGGGCAGTAGCTTACGTAGCTGGTGGTTCCATGTTTCCCAGTTTGCTTGCGTATGCTAGGTGGTGCTAACGCACTGTGGATGCATGCAGCCTCTCAACTGCACTGCTGTACGGTCGGGAACAGCTCAGCCAAGCAATGTGCGTACATTTAGCACTTTATCAACATGTTCCTGGTATAGGTTGCACTAATACGCCTGCTTTGGATTGTACGCCGCAGAGCACTTCGCGCTTAGTGCCATTGTTTGACCATTGAGCCGACCATGGCCGTCAAACCGGTAGCCCTTTCTTATTCCTATGCTACCGCCCTTGCCTTGGGTCATATCAATCTCAATAATTGTATTTTCATGCAGGTTCCAAATGCCCTAACCGCGACGATGGACCCCAAAAAGTAGAAGGATTTGGTTATTTTCGTTTGCTGAATTCGCAAAATAGCGCGGCCTCCAGCCGTATTCTTTCTGAGACGTGCCCGTCATATCGAAAATTTGCCACATACAATAGATTAAGTGTGAAAAGGCTTTTTGGCGCTACCGGTATCTGAAAAAATATGGGAGGGGTGTAGGGATACCTCATTTTCCAGTCGTTTACTACAGGACCTTGCTGGATGTGGATAAACGTGTGGCACCGTTTCTCAATTCATAAAGGAAATACCGTTACAGTAGAGCTATGAGGAGCTTACTTTCCGAAATAGGAAGCCGGCACCTTTTACGGAATACCTTATAAAAACAAGTGGGCATAAATACAAGGTAAGGGAAACAATATAAAAAGCCAAAGCGGGTATGAAGACCTGACGAAGCACAACGTTATGGGCCCTATAGAAGAGGTCATATCCTTGATTGACAGCAGCACCAACCCCTATATAGGTGTAGAGGATCAACCTATTCACTCGTCTGTTGGAGGCGGTGATCCACGGCGTTTTGGACGGTACAGCGTTCTATGTCCTATCGGTCGGAGGTGGATACCCAGGCTACCTACAACTTATCGCCAATATTAATCTTGAAGGTTTGCAGTATCCTGTAACCTCAGTCCTTATCGCCAGAGATGTGTAACTGCTGGGCCGCCATTCATAGATGCCTTTCAGGAAACCGTGTGCATCCTGCAAACCAAGAACGGGAGCAGGAACATCGAAATGACCTGGAGGCGCATCGGAGGCAGGAGCAAGAGCAGCCGAATCATCTTCAACAGCAGCCGAATGTGCAGGAACAGCGAAATGACCTGGGGGTGCATCGGAGGCAGGAGCAAGAGCAGCCGAATCATCTTCAACAGCAGCCGAATGTGCAGGAACATCGAAATGACCTGGAGGCGCATCGGAGGCAGGAGCAAGAGCAGCCGAATCATCTTCAACAGCAGCCGAATGTGCAGGAACAGCGAAATGACCTGGAGGCGCATCGGAGGCAGGAACAAGAGCAGCCGAATCAGCTTCAACAGCAGCTGAATATGCAGCAGGGGGTCCAGGAAGAGCAGAGGAGGCAGCTCGAGCAGCTGCAAGGGCAACTGAATGAGCAGCAGGGGGTCCAGGAAGAGCAGAGGAGGCAGCTCGAGCAGCTGCAACGGCAGCTGAACCAGCAGCAGAGGGACCAGGAGGAGCAGAGGAGGCAGCTCGAGCAGCTGGGGCAGCACCAGGGGCAGCTGGCACGGCAGGAGGAGCAGCTGGGGCAGCACCAGGGGCAGCTGGCACGGCAGGAGGGGCAGCTGGGGCAACACCAGGGGCAGCTGGCACGGCAGGAGGGGCAGCTGGGGCAACACCAGGGGCAGCTGGCACGGCAGGAGGGGCAGCTGGGGCAACACCAGGGGCAGCTGGCACGGCAGGAGGGGCAGCTGGGGCAGCACCAGGGGCAGCTGGCACGGCAGGAGGGGCAGCTGGGGCAACACCAGGGGCAGCTGGCACGGCAGGAGGGGCAGCTGGTGCAGCACCAGGGGCAGCTGGCACGGCAGGAGGGTCAGCTGGGGCAACACCAGGGGCAGCTGGCACGGCAGGAGGGGCAGCTGGGGCAACACCAGGGGCAGCTGGCACGGCAGGAGGGTCAGCTGGGGCAACACGAGGGGCAGCTGGCCCTGCAGGTGGAGGAGCTGGAGCGATGGACGCTTTCCCGGACACGGCCACCGCCTGCCTCACAGCAGCAATCAGGGCGGCAGGAGCCTGTCCCTCGGACGGCACCACCGCCTGCCTCACAGCAGCAATCAGGGCGGCAGGAGCCTGTTCCTTGGACGACACCACCGCCTGCCTCACAGCAGCAATCAGGGCGGCAGGAGCCTGTCCCTCGGACGACACCACTGCTTGCCTCACAGCAGCAATCAGGGCGGCAGGAGCCTGTCCCTCGGACGGCACCACCGCCTGCCTCACAGCAGCAATCAGGGCGGCAGGATCCTGTTCCTCAGACGACACCGCCTGCCTCACAGCAGCAATCAGGGCGGCAGGAGCCTGTCCCTCGGACGACACCACCGCTTGCCTCACAGCAGCAATCAGGGCGGCAGGAGCCTGTCCCTCGGACGGCACCACCGCCTGCCTCACAGCAGCAATCAGGGCGGCAGGAGCCTGTCCCTCGGACGGCACCACCGCCTGCCTCACAGCAGCAATCAGGGCGGCAGGAGCCTGTTCCTCAGACGACACCACCGCCTGCCTCACAGCAGCAATCAGGGCGGCAGGAGCCTGTCCCTCGGACGACACCACCGCTTGCCCCACAGCAGCAATCAGGGCAGCAGGTAGCGTATCATCGGCTACTCGCCCTTTTCAGGCTGCGCTACATCGGCCCTGACGCAGCAGAAGAGCTCGATGGCAAGCTGAAGGAATACAATGGTGTTGGATGGAGCGATAAACAAATAGATGAAATAATCTATGACATGGTACGCCGTTATTTGCGTCAGGATAAGGGTTCGGAGAAGGATACCCTTGATGAGGTGGAAGGCATTGTCAAGGAGTGGGCTGGCGGTGAGCTGCCCCCAGGGTGGCCTGAGGGTACAAAGGAACCGAGGTGGCGAAAGGCTGTCAAGATGGCGCTGGAGCCGAATGGAGGGCGGCTGCCGATTGGCGGGTAACGGGGAGGCGTTAACAGTGCAAGCAATGGGTGGAGGGCTGATGTGTCAGCCGGATGATGTACATCGGCTGTACACGTCGGGTAACACGGGTAACACGTCGACACTGCTCCTGGACCAAGTCCATTGTTGCCATCCATGTGAGGTTATGGCTTGGTATTATGCAAGCGCACGCCATGAGCGGCGACCACCAGGTCGTGCAGTGTGGGGTGCACAACACATATGACTTGACAGTGGCATAGCGATCTTGTGATACAGGAAGCTTCAAGGTTGTTAGACATCGCTAGTGCCGCACAGCATAAGTGATGTTAACATTACTTACGGTGTTTGTGTTATGTGCTGCTATGGCTTGAAAGGTCTTGTTGCTTGGCCTTGCTGAGTAAGTCTCCAGTGCATGCTTGCAAGCCTCTCTTCAGGCTGGTCCTCCCCCTGGGACTGTCCCTACCTGAGGGAGCTGTGGTGTGGAACAAAGACGCAACTGGTCCTTAAATATGAAGCGATTTCACTTGGACGACCTTTGGGGTTGTGGCGTTATGCGTGTGACATGTCATCGTGCACCCGTGCTGAGAGGCGGTTAGTTGGTTGAGTTACTCGTGTTTGCGCGTCCAAGCCTGTTTGTACGTACTGTATGCGTCGGTCGGTTATTAGTGTTGGCTGGCTGGAAATCCGCAGATCATGGGTTGTATCGCCGATTGCCGATCCAAGGCTACACGGGCGGGGTATCCATTGCAGCTTATTATCAGCCTGGTAGACGTCTTCTCATAGACCATTCTGGTTGGTGGTCGCTGGGGCGACGGTTGGAAATCAGTAGAGCCAGCGTTTAGCAGGATTGACGTTGCGTGCTTGTGGGCATAAAATGTTTAACAACAGCTTCTGCGACTCGTAGGCACGCACGCACTGGGGCTACTGGGATGTTAGCAGTCCGGTGTCACGGAGGCGTGGTGTCACCCTGCCTTCAGCCACGAGCGCTCTTGCCACGAACTGTCTGTTGCTGTGTGAGGCATGAGGTGCCTTACCAAAAGGTATACGCGCTTGGTTACCCGCCAGCACCGTACGTCCTGAGGCCGATCAGGTGGATTAGAGGAGTTGGGCGTCTTGGAACAGCCGTGAGATGTCAATGGCTGGGTGTTTTGCTAGGGCTGGATACCATGCATGTATGGACGCGTGCTGTTGGGCTGCACGTTGGCGGCTGGGACTGTTACGGCTTCTTCGACGCTAGAGTATGTACGGCATGGCCCGGATTTGTTACGTTAAACTACTGTCATAGTTGAAATTCACTAAATATGGATGAAGATCTGCCCGGACCTTGTGCTGGTTGTTCTGTGTTGCTGCACTGCATGCCGCGGTCTGCATGCAGTTGGATTCGGTTGCGATTCTTACGTGTTTCTTGTGCCCATTGGTAGTGTAGATGTATTATCATTAACGACGCGGCTACGCTCGTGCTAGGGGTTGTGTTCCTGCAGGCGGGTCGGAGGTGGGCAGGCTGTGTGTTCGGAATTATAGAGTAGGGTTTGTGACCCACGGGTCAACCCTTCGTTTGCAAGGCAGCGAAGGTCGCTTGTTTGCATTTGGCAGTAGCATAAGATACCGAAAAGGTGGAGTAGGACAAGGGAAAATCTGATCTGCGGACGGACATAGTATCCTGGTTCCCTAAACGTTATAAGCGGGTATTAGCTGAGTGTGGTGGCGATGGTCAGTTCTCCCAAGACACTTGCCCTTAGTGCAGTGCACGCCAGTGGTTTTCGCCATAGCATGCTTTGGAAGCATTCACCCAGGTTCAGTCGCTTGGGCTGTTCTTGTGAACATTTCAAACCACTTGCTGTTGTCCTTCGGGCCATTTTTTCGTACTATTAGTCGTGCAGTGCCCATTTGCTGGTTGTGAGCAGCACCAACGTATTGGAAGATGTACGGCATTCATCGAGGACAAATACCTGCAGTTTGTGGCCCTGCCATGCACAAGGATGCATGCTCTCACTTTTGCGGTGGGGGCTCGTTGTCTCTGTGATGCATGTCTGGCCTGATGCGGCAGCAATTCCCCTCGCTCTGCTGGTTGTTACCGGTAAGAGTTAAGGATGTTAACAGTCCTGGTATGCCACCAACGTGCTGGAAGATGCACGGCAATGTTTATCGTGTTTTGCCCCATGCTTGGACAAATCTGTTTGTCATGCTTATTCGCTCGCAACCGATTGTTCGTCCTCAAGTGGGCGGGAGATGCGGGCGTCTGAGGTGCTAGATACTGTTTCAGAGAAAGTGAATAGGTTGCGCCAGCCAAGGTTACCTAATTAAGGTGCAGGTGGTCGACTCAATGCTGCTGTGGGTGCGCAAAGCTGAACGGCTGTTGGGAGGTATTTGGTAGAGATTGGGAAGGAGACCTCAGGCTGAACGAGGAATAACATAAGGAGAGTGTTGTTGGGTGCCTAGCGAAGACAGTTTTGAGCTTGGTCTTATGCTAGGCACATGTAAGTTACCCTGCACTTGCTTGCAAGCGTCCTACACCTATTACGACCCTACACCTTGCGTGGGTCAACACCTTAATGTACCCAGAACAACTCCGCCACCGATCAAGCAACTCGTCAGCCCTCTGCTTACATGCCATCCTCGTGCTACACAGACCGCAGCACGGGTTTTGCAGCAGCCTCCGCCCTTACTGGCGGCCTTAAACGAGGAGTGCACGAAACCTTGATTCTTGTTATCCTACCCCCACCCATACAGTTACATTCGGTGCAACACGACTTCATCCTGCTTGGCTGCTGATAACATGCTAACTCAATGGCCCTACTGCCGTCCACTACAGCAGCAGTGTTTCAGCTAAGGAAACGTCGTCATCACATGTGTGACGGGGTACGGCAGCAGCTTCCTGGCCGCCAGGTCGTACTTGGGGTAGGTGGCCAGCAGCTCGTCCTGTACGGCAGGAAGAGACGGGAACGGGGTATCTACGACAAGGTAGGAAGCAGTGAAAAGGCTCTTGGTGTGAGCAAGATTAGGAGAAGCAGCAGCTCGAATTCCATCAGATCCCGCGCATTTACTCTCCCCCTGCTGCGTCCTTCCCAGCCCCCTCCCCCTCTCTCCCACTTGGAACACCCTGTACACCGCCGCCAGCTCCGCCTCCTCCCCCCGCGCCCCCACCGCCGCCAGGAACTCCCGCACGCTGGGCCGCCCCACGCGGTACCGCCGCAGCACCCGTGCAGCGCGCAGCACCTGACCCTCCGCTAGCAGGGCGGAAACGTAGGCGCCGGCGTCAGTGGTGCCGCCGCTGGTGCCGCCGCTGGGATGTACGGCAGCGGTGCCGCCAGCGAGGGGTTCGTACCTGGCCGCCAGGGCCTCACGTGCCAGTACGTCAAGTCCTAGCTGACGTGGAAGCGGCGAGGTGTCGGCGGCGGTGCTGACGTCACCCATGTGGCCGCCGACGCCGACGCTGGTGGCACCGGTATGTACGGCAGGTGGCGGCGGTGTCGGTGTCGCTTGCAGCAGTCGATGTACGACATGCTTTGCGAATTGCTCTGGGTGGCCGTACAAGTGCTGCACCACCTGGTCGGGCTGGGACTGCTGCAGCAGCACCTCCACCCACAGCTCCTGAGGGGAAGGGGGAGGAGGGAGGAGAAGCGGGGTTGAGAGGCAAGGGCAGTGAGGGGCGGATTAGCAACATGAGCCAGATTATTACGCGTGTTCAGCTAGCGAGGAAGAGTTAAACACAGGCAAGAAGAAGCTCACTGCCCCTCCCCCCCCGCACCTGCATGTATTCTGGCAGCGGGATGCCCGCCCCCTCCGCCGCACTCATGTACTCGCACAGCGCCGCCTGCAGGTAGGGCGCGTCCACCACCTCCTCGACGTGCAGCCACCGGAACAGCACCCCGGCCAGCTCGGCAGCGCTCACGAACTGGGGCAGCAACACGGCAGGTGCGGAGGCGGCGGGGGCAGAGGCAGGTGCGGAGGTTGAGGTAGTTGCTGCTGCTGACGGTGGCGCAGCAGCCACTGCCGAAGGTGAAGCCGTGGTCACTGCTGCTGCCCTGGCTGCTGCGGCTGCATCAACCTGCCTGTCCAGCGCCGCTGCGTATCCGGCGCACAGGTCCTCGAATATGGCTCGTACGGTGCTCATGGGCAGGCGCTCCTGCAGCGCGTTGCGAACCACCGACAGCAGCAGCGCCTTGGGGGAGGGGCTGGACGCGGCGGCAGCAGCTGATGTAGATGCGGACGGAGAAGGCTGCGGAGGCTGCTGCATCACCATGCCGGTGTTGCTGCTGCCCACCCCGCCCGCCGCCCCGCCTCTGCGGCGCTGCAGGAAGCCGGCCAGCACGGCGGGGTTGCTGCCGCCCGACTCCACCACTGCGGGCAGGTGGAGGGCCAGGCGGTAGGCGGTCTGGCGGGAGCGGTCCAGCACCACATTGGGGGCCAGGTACTCCCATTTCCGCGCCTGAGGCTGCTGGGGTTGCTGTCCTGCCGCCGTACTCTGACCGCTAGTCCCCTGCTCCTCCAGACCACCGGCGCCTTCCACCTCCTCCTGCTGCTGCTGCTGTCCCGATCCCAGTCCACCCGGCTCTTCCGCGCCTGACCCCAGGTGCAGCAGCCGCAGGGGCAGCGGGTTGGCGATGGGCTGCGAGGTGGGGGCGGCCACGTCAAACAACATGGCCACACCCGCCAGGCAGGAATCAGGGGGAGGGCTTGTCGAACCAGCGGCGCAGGCGTCACCAGCGGCAGGAGGGTCCTCCACCGCTTCACCGCTGGCAGGGGTGCCGGCTGCCGCTGCGCTGTCCGTTGAGGTCCGAGCGGTGCTGCTGGTGTTGCTGGTGTTGTGATGGTGGTGCTGGTGCGGCTGGTGGTAGTGTACGACAATGACGTAATCCACGACGGCTAGATCCACGTACGGCGAGAAGAGATCGTACGTGTGCTGCAGTACGACCGTGTCCGTGTAGAAGCGGTAGAGCTCGAGGCGGAGGGAGCGGCGGTTGATGTGCGCGCAGTACACCCTGTGTGTGTTGGGTTGTGGGGGGCATGCGGCGATGAGGGAGAGATGCAACGCTGGGATAGCGTTATATGGTGGCGGCCGCAGCAGCAGCATACCGGTAGCGAGGAAATGCGTCACAGGGACAGATGACTACCGCTGCCCGGACCATCGCTCTGCACGTGATCTGCCTCCTACCAATCACCAGCCCTCAATCTTTCCCCACCTTCCGTACACCTTGATCGGCCGCAAACAGTCCGCCGCCACCGGCGGCGGCGGCGCCCCTCCGCCTCCGCCGTGACCTCCACCTGCCGTACTACCACCTGCCGTACCGCCCCCCGCCGCCGCAGCTGCCGTACCGCCCATGAGCGCTATGGCGGAGGCCGCCGCCCCCGCCGTAGAGGGCGGCAGCGTCACCAGCCCAGTGGACACGAACTGGAAGGCCTTGGTGTACGACACGCCGCCGGTTGCGTGTTTCGTGGGTGTACAGCGCCCACTCCACGGGCGTTTTGACCTGAGGGGCACGTGACGGGGGGCACGGTATCCGGTTGGTAATGGCTTGTCGGTGGTACGCGCCCGGCAACGGAAGGCAGCACGTCCCATGGGTAAGCCCCATGGGGCGCCACAGCATGAGAAATCGCCCCGACACCCGGTTGGTGATGGGTTGGTTTGTGGGTTGCCAAAACCAAAAATGGAAGGCAGGGTGTTGCATGGGTCCCGGCTGTCATCGCAGCTACCCCGAACCCTCCCTCATCCGCCCCCTTCCTCACCCGCTCCCTCATTCGCCCCCCTACTTCACCCGCTCCCTCATCCTGAGCCCCTGCCTCCGGGGCTGCACCCACTCCAGCAGCTCTAGGCGGCCAGCCTCGCCAGCAGCGCGCCGCCGACCCCGGGCCCCTTCTCACCGGGCAGCGCCGCCGCCGCCGCCTTCAGGCTCTGGCCTCCGCCACCGCCGCCTCCATCCGCCAAATCCTTCAAACGTACCGACACCCTAGCCAGCTCCGCCTCCCCCATCGCCTCCTCCGCCGCCGCCCGAAGGAGCTACGGCAGAACCGGCGCGCACAGCAGGTCCGCTGGTGGCAGTGGCGGCGGCTCTGGCAGTAGCAGATCCTTCAAGCCCTTGTACGGTACTTCCACCTCCGCCTCCACCTCCGCTGGTGCCGCCGCTGCTGCTGACGGCAACGGTGACGGCGACACGGAATCCAACTCCTCCACGGCAGCGCCGCTGAGCCCCGGTGCCCGGGCGCTGCTGAGTCGGCAGTCCTTCCGCAACAGCCGGGCCGCCTGGCACCAGCGGGAGGCGGACCGGGAGGCGCGGTGGAAGCAGCAGTCGCGGCAGCTGGCGGAGCGGGTAGTGGAGTATCTGGACATGGAGAGCCCGGCGGCGGCAGCCAGGAGCGCTAGGGAGGCGGCGGCAGGTGGGGGCGGTAGAGGGTGGGAAGGTTTACCCGAAGTGCAGGGTGGACGGTGTTAGCTCCGGTGATGTTTCAGGTTGCTTACTCCCCAAACACGTGACGTACAAGTTTGTACGTCCTTGTTGCTACTGAATGAGTGTACAACTTCAACGTTACCTCGCAGGGCTCAACACGCCCTACCAAGGGACCCGTGGGTCAGCCGCAAGTGCCACAAGCGCCGTCACCACAACAACTAGGGCTGGAACGTTACGGTTTACGGTATTACGATTTTGCGTAATTACGGTACCGTAATTACGGTAAAGCTTAAAAAAAGGCTCATTTTATACGATATGACGCCGTAATTGTAATTACGGTGTCCTGTGGACTGTTTTTTACGGTTGAACCGTAAAGAACCGTTCAATGTCGCCGCAAAGTCAAAGTAAAGTTCACAGAAGACGCCATTTCCACTCAATAACACCTCTTGGAATCTAAATCAACACTGTACTAATAAATTGGATTGCTGAACTTTAGGAAATCACGCGAAGCTTGATGTTTGACCACCCCATGAAGCGCTTAGACCTCTGCTCACTAACGTATCCACCCTAGAACGAATGACAGCATCCTCTATCTAACTATTACAGCTGTCACGGAAGTACTGGCTGGCATTCACTTCTTGACCAGCTGGGCAATGGCCATGTCGTCCATGCGAACCCAGTCAGCCCTAGCCCGACCGCCCCTCCCCGATGGAGGCAACGAAGGAAGCCCACTAGCCGTCTTATAATCCAAAATGGGAAGAGTTGTTCCTTTCTTTAGATTAATGCTGGTCTCCTTGGTTGTTGGCTGAGCAATCGTGCCAGGCGGCACGTTGCCAGGCTTAACGGCCACGTTTGGCAGCAACCAACTACCTAGACCTTTGTAGAAAGATATAAAAAGGGTAAATGATTGAAGATTACAGCTTAGATGTTAGTTTTGGCTCCAAAATCGACCACCGTAATTCGTTACGGTGCCCTACGGTGCCGCTGCGTTGAGGCGCGTTTTGCCGAGGGGAGTGTTTGATCGCGGCAAGTGGAAACCAATATCTAGGTTTAAACTTGCTATATTGTTGTTTCAATATGGCTTTACAGCGCCCGTTAAGGCGCATGTCGCAGATACAAGTTCGCGCGGTTGAACCAT